GAATAGAATAGAATAGAATAGAATAGAATAGAATAGAATAGAATAGAATAGAATAGAATAGAATAGAATAGAATAGAATAGAATACTTTATTGGCCAAGTGTGATTGTATACACAAGGAATTTGTCTTGGTGCAAATGCTCTCAGTATACATAAAGAAAAGGTACATTCATTAAGAATCAAGAATCATAACTTACAACACTTAATGATAGTCATGAGGTACAATCAACAATGGTTACCTTTAATAGCCATTCAAAGCCCTTTGTACCAACCTGTGTGCATGTTATCAGGCCAAAATCACCAAGGTATGTAAACATTTGATCAGGGTCATTTGGGTAGTTTTTGTTGTCATTATGTTTTAAAAAGAGTAAACACAGTTATTGATAATAAATGGCTTCAGCCATACACTAACCATGAGTGAAAGAAAAGTTTTTGTGTTATCATTCATATTCTCTGAAAAATAATCAAGAAATCATAAATTCTGCCAGGGTATGTAAACTTATGAGCACAACTGTATCAACATTATCAATGACTTAAAGCAAAAAAAATAAAATAAAAATAAAACAAACCACAAAGCCAAAAGACAGTGATGACTGTCATCAAAATTGCCTTACAAAAAACAATATGAAAAAAGGGGAAACATTTAACTGTTGAAGTTAACTCTCACAACAAATGATAAAATTGAACCGGAATGGGTGGTAAAAACATTTCTGCACTGATGATATAGCATTATAACTCTGACCCAATGGACATAGAATCAGAACCACCTCAATGTGGAAGAAATAATGGCTCTATAATTACTAAAGAATGATCAAACCATTCCAATCACAAGGAGATGATGGATGAGACCCACAGTTATCATGGGCATGCACATAATACACCCAGGGGTGGGATTCAAATTACTTAATAATCGGTTCTGTGGGCGTGGCCTAATTTGTGGGTGTGGCTTGGTGGTCATGTGACTGTGGTGGGAGTGGTTTGCTGACTGGTCATGGTTAGGTGGTCATGTGACTGGCAAACCAAATGTAAGTGGTCCTCGCTTAATGACCAGGTCCTTTCTTAATGGCCAGTTGCTTAGCAAGTGTTCTAATTTACAACTGACCTCCACAGAGCTACTTGGCCTGTTTTTGGAGTTTTGACAGCCACACGTACACATACACACACCCTTCTAACCCTGCTATTCGTTGATTCTGTAAGGATCTCTTGCTGGAGCAGGGGGTTGGACTAGATCAGTGGTCGCCAACTGGTGGGCTGTGGCCCACTGTTGGGCTGTGAGAAAATTTTGGTGGGCCACAGAGAAATCTCACCCCCAGAGTACCCCCACAAAGCAATTAATCCAGGCTGCGCTACCCACATGGCCCGCAGGAACCCTCTCCGCCCACTCACTCCTTACCTGGTAAACTTACCTACTAAATTGCTATTTTTCCTTTTTCCGACCATCATCTGTTCTGCTGTGCTGGGAGATTTAGATTAGCTAGGAAGCAGGAAATGGTTGGATTTCTTGCTTTCTAGGTAGTCTTTAGATTTTTGGCTGAGCACAGCTGAACCTCCCTTAGGACTGAAGGTTTGCTTGTAAGCAAATTCAGTGCAGACTCATGGCAAGCAAATTGTAGAGACTGAGCTAGCTGATGGCAGATAGATAGATCACTGAATGATTCTATGAGCAACTCAATCTGCCTGCTTTGCCTGATTTTGGGTAAAAGTTGCTCTTTTTAAAAATAAAAAATTCAATATTTACATGCATGGTGTGTTGTGAGTTAATTTTGTGAGTTTGCTTGCTAGCAAATTTTATGTGACAAACTGAGCTAGCCAACAGCAGATAGATAGATCTCTGAATGAATCTGTGATTCTGTGAGCAACTCAATCTGCCTACTTTGCCTGATTTTGGGTAAAAGTTGCTCTTTTTTTATAAAAAATTCAATATTTATAAAATATTTGTAATATTTACATACAAGCCATGCCCAGGCAGTCACATGACCACCAAGCCACACTCACAAATTAGCTGTGCCACCAGAACCAGTTCGTGGTCCCTGGGATATAAAATTATAAGTTTGGTGGTCCCTGAGGTCCAAAAGGTTGGTGACCCCTGGACCAGATGATCTCCGAGATCCCTTGAAGGCCAGCCCTAGATTGCTGTGCTGCTTCAAAGTCTTCTGAAGCTAGGGTTTATGTCCTTCCTTCCTCTCCTTTTTTTCTCCCTCTCACTCTCCCTCTTTCCATGTATTTATCTATTCATTCATATATCTCATTTACTTTCTCCTCTCTCCCTCCCTCTTTCTTTCTTTCTTTCTTTCTTTCTTTCTTTCTTTCTTTCTTTCTTTCTTTCTTTCTTTCTTTCTTTCTTTCTTTCTTTCTTTC